GTAATAGTATGTTGGGATGACGCAACGAAATATATTGATTAATATATTTAAATTTTTTTCAAATTAGCAATGCAGCAAAGCACATATTTAATTTTAAATTTCCCTTCATCTGGACCAAGCGTCTCAGTATGACCTCCCTAGATGACAGCGACAAGGTCGCACACAGCCTTTGCTGTGCTGTCATTGAAATATTTTACTAATTGGACAACAAACATACTTACAGAATTACGGCTTTTTTTTTTTTTTTTTTTTTTTTTTAAGGGGGGAAAATCATCGAATGACTGCTCCCGCCTGGGTGAGGCGGAAGGGAGTGTCAGACTCTTACTGACTAAAAACCACCCCGTTCCTTCTCCTGCACGTCGAGCCGGAGCCCCGGTTACCCGTTAGGTTCTCCGCGACTCCGAATCGGCATCGGCCCTATTGGGCCCCATCTGTGGTGGTCTGATGGCTCTTTGAGGCGCGCGCGGAACGCGACGCGCCGTACGCTCGGGTCTGTTTCTGGTCGGACGGGGAGCCACCCATGCTCGCCGTCCGCAGGCCCGCGCTTACGGTGGCCGGAGATCGTCCCGCGATCCCCGACGCCCGGTGTGTCCTTCGCGATGGCTGGGTTGCGAGGAGGCAGCGCTTCGCTGCCTCACGCGTCCCGCCTCCTCCTTAGCCAGCATGACTGCTTCGCAAAAGGAGGAGACGGCATCCCAGTCCCCCTCGCTCCGCATCATGGCCTGAACTAGGCCCGGACGCGAGAGGTCTCCATCGCCGATCACTTCCCTGAGGGCACGGCGGTGCTCAGCCCACGCAGGGCATTCCGCAACAGTGTGTTCCACCGTGTCCTCAGGGTGGTCCTCGCAGTGATGACACCCGGGCGTTTCCTCCCGCCCCATCAGACACAGGTACCTCCCGAAACTTCCATGTCCGGTGAGGACCTGCGTCAGGCGGTAGGTGAGGACGCCGTAGCGTCTCTCAAGCCACTCCTCAAAGAGGGGACTTACCGCTGCAATGGCAGCGAGCCCAACAGAATTACGGCTACGGGATATTACTACGGGTACTAAGCGTGTGAAATTCATTAATCAATTCGAAACGGTAGTAAATGTTTGTTTGTTAACTGTTTGTAGTAACTCCTACGTTCACGGAGCGGAACCGTTACTCATCGTCAACACGGGATAGGGTGTATTTTTACGATCTTGTGTATTTGCCGAAATCATTTTTACGCACACTTCAAAAATAACTTCGAATTAAACTATTTATACACTTTCTACTCAATATTAATAAGTATTTTAACGCGAGTCATGGTCATCTGGCGACACCACAGCTAAACAATTTCGAGCCAATGACATTATAAAAATATTTCAGTAGATTATAATTTTAGTAGATATTTCATATACTGGACCTTCTGTATGGGTAAATTGTTTCACCATTTTCAGTTTTTACACTGTAACAAAAGATTTAACCTATAAAAGATTTATACAATGCATAAAATCTGTCGAAACCAAGTTTTGCATAGTTGATCTATGTTGCAATCGCTAACTAAGCCGTTCGGTCACGAAAATTGCGAGGCTGGCGGTGCCTGGTGCGCTATGTTAAATGTTACCTCACATAGCGAGGGCCTAATAACTCTGTTCATTGTGCATGTACATTATGCACTTACAATGGACACCTGTTCGCGGACCTCCACGAAGCGTCTAACAAACATCAATTATAGGCATGACCAATAGTAGAATTAGATCAACTGATTGTCTGTACCTATTCATCTGCGCAGTTTTCGATTATACTTTCACAAATTCCGCTCATGCTTGCTCGGTATTATCCAGTTCTATTTATTGAGTGATATATAATTTTCGTCCTAGCATATCACTTGGTAAAGCACGTTTCGATGTACGGTAAACTGTAATAGATAAAACACATTCGTAGGACAAGTCAATGATAATTTGTTAAGATATATAATTATGAACAATTTCCTGTAACCGATTTTCTTACGTATGATTTATGAATGTAAGTTATGCAAACTTTTATCTCAGGAATTATAGCGGCGGAGATGCGTCAATAACACAGTTCCATGGCGAGGCCAAGGCCGACGCCGACGCCGTCGTCGGTCCGCTCAGTGAATGGAGGCGCGTGCCACGCCGTCACTCGTTTATCGACTATTATTAGAATATAGCCATAGTGTACCTAGGAATTCTATATTGCTCATCGACACTCACGCTTGTAGTAGTAACAGAATTGTTCATTTTGTATAATTATATTGTACCTACAATGACGTGCACTTCCAATACAGACAATATATTACGCGTTTCCAACTGTTTATCCCTTACGAGCATTTCAGTTCTTGGCTCACTGTCAAATTCTCGCCACATTCGTAAAATACCAAGATCGATGACTGTTAATGAAAACTTTAGTAAGTGATGTACAAATAAATACAAACCACTCATATTTATCTGGAAAAATATTTTGGGATATTGTTTTTTGCCGAGGGGGGAAATGAGAACAGGCGGTACCTACTTAGACTGTAACCGTATTCGTTGGCTGCCGCCTCGATATTTCACGCTTCAAGAAACTTGAAATTGTTTTGTTTATGTATCTGTTTACGAATGTCTTCTTGTTTTACTGACACAATGAACTAGAACTACAGTAGAATCCGGTTATAACGACGGCGAAGGGACCGGTGATATTAGGTCGTACTAACCGGAAGTCGTACTAAAGGAAGTGACCAAAAGAAACAAAAAAAAAAAACATTTGAATCAAAATATGTATTTTTTTACATATGTATGTATTTCACATAATATATTATTGTAATGAAAATAAAAGTAACATTAATTCAAAAATGTACTTCAATGTCTAAGGTAGGATAGCAAAATAACCGTGCGCGTACATGATGTACATCTCTAATATAATCTACATAACAAATGACAAAATATCTAGTGCAAAAAGTCTGTAGGTAATTTTTGATTGTTTTTGGCTTTTATTTCTATAGTAAGAAGTACCCCTATACTTATTATACTCTTTGGTAAGAAGTACGGATTCGGTTATGCAAACAAGACATCATTTTTTTCATATTGTCATCTTCAAAATTAGAATGCACAAACACATTCAGCACTTCTGCAGCTTTTAGAGCTTCAGATAAAGTCGGAGTGGTACAATTTTCTTCCAGGCCGTCGTCGTCATTATCGTCGCTATCTTGACCGTTGTCGATAACACTTTGTAGAATATTTTCGTCAGTCGGCTCCTCACAAGTTGCGAGATCATCATCAATAGCAGAATATTGTTCAAGTTCTTCATTTCCCATGGGAAGTCCTTTATCCAACGCTCTCGCCCAGATAGACAGCGGCAAATCATCATCGTCATCGCTGGCGGAAACAACACTGAGACTGTCTTGGACAAATCCAGCGTGTCTATAACAGTTGAAAATCGTCGCTGATGTAAGCTTATTCCATGCGTCGTAAATCATTAGAATAGCATCCAGTATTGTGATCTTCGGATGTTTGGCACTGCTGGTGTTTTCATTTGCATCAAGATTAGCGATAATTTTTAGAACCAGGTTTTTACGAAAGTTTGATTTTAACACTCGAATTATTCCTTGGTCCATAGGTTGTAATACAGATGTTGTGTTCGGTGGCAGAAAAAATAGAGTTATGCTTCTCAAATCGCTGATCTGGGGATGAGCTGGACAATTGTCAACTAGAAGCAGGATCTTTTTATTCTTTTTAGTCAGTTCACGATCCCAGTCGCGTACCCATTTGATAAAAATATCAGATGTCATCCAGGCTTTGTGATTGCTTTCATAATCTACCGGGAGAGATCGTACATTTTTGAAACATCGTGGGTTCTTTGACTTGCCAATAATTAACAACTTCTTTTTTATCGTGCCACTCATGTTAGCTGCAACCATCACAGTTATTCTGTCTTTCGAAAGTTTTCCTCCTGAGCATTTTTCGCCTCTAAATTTTAATGTTTTATCTGGCGTTAATTTAAAGAATAATCCTGTTTCATCTGCGTTAAATATTTCATCGTCACTAAATTTTTTCCGCAAATTAGGCCAAACTTTGCTTAGCCACTCTGTTACATCGCTCTGTTCAACCGACAAAGACTCACCAGCAATTTTTCCGGCAACAATATTGTGTCTCTTCTTGAAACGGTTAATCCCACTCGCCGAACAATCAAAATACAGAATCTTTAGCTCTTTAGCGAAAAAAGTAGCTTTTTGTTGAAGCATAGGCCCATTTACGGGTATTCCACGATTACGCTGCAGCTTAAACCATTGTAAAAGTGCCGAGTCCACTTGTTCTTGAGACGATAACCTCACACGTTTAGGTTTTAAAACATTCGCATTGAACAAAGGTTCTATTTTGTGTTTATTTTTCTTAATTGTTGATATTGTCGAATGATTTACACCGAATTCCTTCGCAATCGTTGCATTCGACTCGCCAGCTTCTAAACGTTGTATTATAACACTTTTTTCTTCAACAGAGAAACTTTTTCGTTTTATAGAAGCCATTTTTGTACGCCAAACTACGCATCACCCGCTAATTAACGCTGAGAACTAAACGGTCACACACGAATCACTGACGTGCAAGCAAGGGGGGGTCAAGCAAGGGGGGGTCAAGCGGAGGTAGTTTCATACCTACGATTTATTTGTAAACACGTCAACGCTCATCGTCGTTGTAACCGGATAATTTTATGTGATATACCGTCGTTAAAAGCGGTCGGTCGCTGTAAGCGGAGTCGTAATAAACGGATGTACTTTCATAAAGGCTCATATGAAAACCAAACAATCGTCTACACTCACGTCGCTAAAAACGGTTGGTTGTTATATGCGAAGTCGTACTAAATGGACTACACTGTACTTACTAAAGCGACGAATAATTCTTTTCCAATCCCGATCAGGTTATTTTCGATCAATATCATATACAGGCTTTAGTATGTGATTTTATGTATGAAGATACTTACTAATATTGAGACGAAATAATTAGAAGTTACCTGCTTCAACTTATAACTTTTCTTTACAGAACCAAAGAAGGACAAGTTGGAAAATGGTGGCGAGCTAATGAGGCCCGAGCGACCCAACTCCTTGACTGGCAAGATTCCACGACGAATATGCTACCAAGGAGATGTTGGTACGTATTAAAGGTCAATTTATTTACCGTACAAAATGGATTGTGGATAAGTCGCTTTATTTGTTTTAAAATCCATACAGAATCAAATTAAAGCCATTTTCGACCATCCCCATAATTTCAAATATCGTTCTGTTAGCTTTTGAAAGTGTTAGGGTCGACCCTTTATCGACCGAACTTGTAATTGGATGGCCAAATAAACGACCGCAGGCTTGGCTTTAACGCATTGGGAATAAAATTGTTGACACTTAAATATGAGCCTTTCGGGGATTATAGGCGGTTGGCTAATTAGTAAACCAGTGAATTAGTTGATTGTGTACTTACATGAAATACAGCTGCATTTGTATAAATGTTCCAGTGGGTGGTTACGGGTCGACGGGCGACAGCAGCGGCGGTGGTGTGCACGGCGGGCACGGCGGGCACGGCCACGGCGAGGCGGAGGAGCAGCTCATGCTGTCGGAGCTGCCGGAGCCGCCCATCGCGCTGTCGGAGATCGGCCCCATCCCGCCGCCGCCCATGTTCAGCTCGCCCAGCCCCACGCGCCACCACCACCAGCACCAGCACGCACAACACCCCCTCGCGCAACATCCTCTCTCTGACTGTAAGTACCGATGCCTTATTTATTTATTAATGCTCTAACGTCTTTATATCAGCGCATAATTTGAAATTTACATTAGGTACCTATTGTCGTGTAAGACGTTTTTATTGACATGATTTTCGTTTTTGATTTAATTGTAGCCGAAGAGGAGGACGAACAGGAGGACGATGAAATAGAGCCGTTGACACTCGGTGCGGACACGACCCGCGTCGAGGAGATCCCGCCTAAGGAGCCCATCTTCAATGCGGTGCCGCTGAAATCTGCGCTGAAGAAAAGACCGGCGCCGGCCGCGTCTCCCGCCGCCACGCCGCTGGCCACGCCACTGGCGCCGCGCCAGGACCATCATCACACCAGCTTCAAGTCAGTACCTCCATCACCACTTCATACGCCACTATAGTCGTATTTTTAATTAGACGAAGTCGACTGACGTTTGCTGTGTTGTCAGTTTTTGATGAAATAAAAATAGTGTTGCGAAAAAGTGAATGATTGAAAAAGCAACTAAATGAATGAAATTGTCTCGATCGTCTAGTGAATTAATTGAAGTAGTTGAAACTACAGATGAGTAAAATATAAAAAAATTAGGTAGTTATGGATAATAAAAACAACGCTAATAACATCATTTGATTTTAATCATCATCAGATAAAAAATCATCGCTATCACTTTCGGTGACATTAATAATAAAGTTGTCTGACACATTGTCAATCATGTGGTCAAGGCCATACATTTTGTCTTCTTCTTTAATAACGTGAGACACGCAACTACTCCATTTTTCTGCTGTGATGAGTTGAAGTCCTTCTTCAAACAGTTTTTTAACTTCTGGCATTTTAAAAGTTTTGTTATTTCTTGCCACATGTCCTTTGGCCTGCGCCCATACCAACTCAATAGGGTTAAGCTCACAGTGGTATGGGGGCAGACGTAAAACCGTAATTCCATGGTGTGCTGCCATCTCGTCCACAACAAACTTTTCAGAATGTTGGTGTTTGTGCTGTCGTACAATGTCTATAAGAGTAGCTTTGATCATTGTTGCTTCGAATGCGATATTTTTGCTTGTTAGCCACTCTTGTATTCTGGATTTAGTCCAAGACATTGTAGGCAGCGATTCCAGTTTCCTGGAGTGGTACGGGGCATTATCCATCACTACCACGGAATTTGGTTTGAGTTTTGGCAAGACCTCTCTGAACCACTTTTCGAAGGAATCGGCATTCATCTCTTGATGATAATCTTCTTTGTTTTTTGTGGCTTCAAATATTAATAGGCTGTCTTCTACGAACCCTTCTTCCCCGCCTATATGTCCGATAATTAAGCGTTTGCCCTTTCCTGAAGGTTGTTTTAAGCCAGTGGTCAAGCCATCGAGGAAGGCCTGGCGGGAGGTTAGCACTGTTTGGTCAATCCATACCTTCTTCGGGGCATGACCTTAAAAATAGAGAAAAATATCAATTAATTATTGAAAGTAGAGGGACCTTCTAAACACATGCCTGTAAATGTATGTACACGTTTATCTAAGTGGTTTGTCATGTTTGTTTGTAATTATTCCTAATTTATATTATTGTCACACAATCAGAATTTACAGTCTTATAAGAAACGCATGTAATCTGTGTTAAATACAGCGTCGGTAACGAATTGTAAGAACTTTTATCTGTGGCCACAAAACCTACAGAAAGTAAAATTTAAAATGAAGAAAACAAAATTGTAATTACCTTCGTTGATCCAGGTCTCATCTTGGTAATAAATATACCTTCCTTCTCTTCTATACTGTTTTATTTCTCGAAGGTATCGCTGGCGCCATAGAATAATATCCTGTCTGTCAATAAGAATGCTTTTTCTTGTCTTTGAAACGTATTTGAAATTCAAATGTTTCATAACATTTCTTAGTGTACTCCATGAAAAAGTCGGTAAATCTGGGTCTTCATTGACAACTTTAAGGATCTGTAAAGTAATAAAAATGTTTTTGAGTAAGGAAATCTATGCAATCTAATACTTTGGTTTTACAAAGAACATTATGGTGGACACAGAATATAATGCAGTAGACGGAATAAAGTTTATGTTACCTTTGCAATGGTGGGTGGCTCATTTGCATAAAAAAACTGATGAACTTTTCGCCTTATGGCAGTAAAAGTAAAATCATCTAATTTGTCTTTGAAATTGTATTTCGGTCCACGTTTCTCGGGTGATTTAAATTGTTCATTTTCTTTGTATTCTTTTAATACACTGTAAACCGAGGTCACACCAATTCCCAAAATGTCAGCTGTTTTCGAAACACATTCCTGTTTTTCGGGGGTTTCAAAAGGTAATAGAGAAGCAGCTTTCTCCTCAAATACGTGTTTATACACGTTCTGTACCATGAGCTTTTCGGTAACGCTTAACGAAACCCGTGGTCTCTTCCTTCTCGGAGACAAGCTTTGACTTGACGTGCTTGGTTGAGGATCCATATTGTTTAAAGGAAACAATGAACCACAATAACCGCAAACACAACGAAACAAAAAACTTAACAAAACAACGTGAGCGCAGAAATAACAAAGTACGTGCTTTCAGACCAGAGGTTAGAAGCCGAATAACAATCAAAATGGCGACCGACGCGCGCGACGTCGATCGGTGTTGTCAGTACTCGCCGCGCCGCGCTTTACAATAAACTATCAAATATTGATACAATTTTATTAGAAATAGAAATAATATTCATTTATGTTTTGGAATGATTAAAATTATGAACTATTCACATTCATTGTTCATTCATTTGATTGAACGAGAACTGTAGCCATCACTATTACTTTAAATATGGCCACATTATTTTACAATTTGACATTAGCCATTGTCAGTTGACTTCGTCTAATTAAAAATACGACTATACATGTACACTCCCATATCAATACTTAGTCGAAATATTAAACAACTTTTTGCTTTACTTGAGCCATCCATCTGCAGTCTATATATAAATTACACTCTTTGATCACGATATTGTCAAAATGATTATAGATATTCAGCTTTTATGACCACCTGCTGTACTCCCGTATCACCAACCCTGCAAAACTTACTGCATAGACTGAAGTAACCCAAAATTTTACGTTTTAATTTTTACTTGGGATTATTCGTATCATTTTGACGTAATTGTGAACGAGGAGATAGTACAGCTGCAGTTCATTGATGTTCATGATCTCACGATGTTCATAAAATGTTGGGCGTGATAGTGAAAGTTGTTTATTTCCACCATGCGTCGGCGAGCAGGCGGCCGCCGCCTAAACCGAGGATCCGCATATGGTAACAGTTCCCTACGTTATGCAGTGTTGTTGAACCACGCCACTCCACCGACCTCCCGACGGTCCGCTTCGCCTTTAGTCCATGCATCGTGCTGTGCACGCTTCCGACTCTCATCTCTCTCTCATGTTAACTGTCGATGTCTCTACTGTCCATACACTAACGCCATTATAATAGATGCATATGATAATGACATACGATTGTGATGCTTTCCACTGACAATTAGTATAAATCAAAAACAAGTGCAAAGAACTGAAATAAAATAAAATCCCGCGTGATATGTTTGGATTCCTACATGTATCGTGTGTGCTGTTGATAAAGTTATGGCTGTTCTCTTGTACTCTTGCTCTATACGTCGTTGTTCTATGTTGCATGAACGTGTATTTTCATTATAGTTTGATGATCATAGACTATTTATTAAGAACGTAATTATATTTATTTTGTTATTTCTTAGTTTTCATGTTATGAAAGGACATTATGTTACTTGCCCTAGTATTAGTTGTGTTATGATTATTTTTGATTCTATTAATTTTAGTAGTTAATTATGTGTCGTATCAATATTTCTCCTGTTTATTTATTATCATGACGAAAGGCTTTTAGTCTAAATTTTGCAGTGCCTACTGAATCTGTGTTTACTAAGAATAACAAAACTCTGTGATCACTCTCACGGCTCATTGGCACTAAACTCGGCACATGTTGAGTACTTGCATGGTTACGGTGCTGGTTGACAATACAACGACAATGTTATGCGTACTTTAACAACACAAATAATAATATGTAATAACATTACAATGCGTTGATAAATGGTTAAACTTTCAAATTTCCAAACAGAGATAAAGTGATCGTTTTAAATGCCTGTCATAGATCCCTTGTTATTTTTATTTAATGCATTATCTAGCTTTCATGCAAAGGCACTATATAGCGTAATAGCTTGTAGTTTATTTAGTAGTAACGTGTGTTTTGTGGCGTAGTACCCGGGCGGTGCGCGTGGGCAACGGGTTGGAGAACAAGGAGAACGCGCGGCCCTGGGAGGAGTACGAGGCCTCCACCGAGTCCGACCGCGTCGCTGCCAAGCTCGCGCGCAAGGAGAGCCTCAACATCAAGCTCGCACTGCGGCCCGACCGACAGGAACTCATCAACAGGTATGTACCATCACATAGAAAATGACTTATGTAAAGAAGAGTTATATTCGGTTTCATCTTGGTAAAGATTTGAAACAATACTGACAGCACGAGCTCCATTATAAAATTATGATGCTTATTTATGAGTACTGAAATATGAATTTCGACAAATAATAATCCTCCTTTAGAATTACGGTTATTTGTGAGCTGAGTTAAATTCAAATAGGAAATATTTGCACACCAACGATCAGAGTTCTTAATACAAGTTAGTTTTACTTTTAACGAGGTCACGTTCGGCGGTCTGTATAGTTGGTACTGTTCTGTATAGGCAAGCATACGCCAACATAGGCCAGAAGGGTTACCCTCTGGCCTAAGTTTAGTGAATAAAATGGAATCGACCATAACACTCCTCAAATTAAGGAAATTGTGAATATATAATATTACGTCGAACTTCGTTAGTATATTGTTACAGAAATGTTTGTTTAACAATTTATGTTTATGACACCACTTAAAGACCTTTTGTGGCTAAATAGCTAAATATCTTATAAACTTTTATCTCAAAAAGCAAAAGATAAGTCGTTTATGGTTTTAAATTGAGTCATGTCACGAATGGATTAAAGTAGTTAATTATATTTTACTCATTACAAAGCAAACATTAAATGAGGAAGATAAACATTAGTTACCCATAAAACGGTACTTTGTAATCTCGTGATACCACAATATCTACATATTTTGCGACCTGGTAGTCCGTAAATAAACTAGTACAACGTTGAAAACAGTAAGTATTAATTGCAATAATTTAGAGTGTAACAATTATATTGCATTTGTACACGTGGTTACTAGTAAAATAACCAATTCACAAAATGTTGGGTCTGCTTGCCAAATTGCAGAAAAAATCTGCCATAACACGCATAACAGTTCGTAAGAGTATTACGTGAAAACTACACAAATTCCTTTGTATGATATCATAGTCACAACACTGTCAATGTCACTGCCTACGTCCGCCTAGCTAATGAGGGCTGGCAGAATTACGTACTCATTTACTCACTACAATATTTGTTTACACCTCTATCAACTCTGCACAAATATCGCACATTTACATAAATAAATATTATTATCATAAGGATACCTACACGTTCCTATTATATAGAATTATTAATATCGAATGTTGAAATCATATTTCTAATTTAGTTACAATTTAAGGAAAATTAGGTTTGGTATATAAATCGCTGATGACAATCATACGTAGCAATACAGTACAGTTAGCCCGTGAGCAAACAGAAAATGTAGGCGTCAGGTGCATATATGGAGGCAGCATATTGTGACACGTATGAACATTTTGTAACTTTGTGTGAAGTTAAATTAATTTTTTGCTAATGAAAGTATGTAACAACTAAGATCTGTAAAAGTATTTAGTGAATTAGAAGTCACACGGTCCGATCCGAACATCAACAGTTGCACGTGTAGTGTTACGTAACGCGCGGTGCGGCCTAGTAATAGTCCACTCCACACCGTCTGGCAACAATGCACGCCTGGGAGCGTTATTTTAGTCAACACCGTCAAAGTCATTGTTATCAATGTTTTATTTCTTCCTGTTTCTAAAGAGCTCGCTCTTGGCATTGGCATTGTTGTAATTTTGACTAATACCTATTGGATAACCGTTTAAAATCTGTGCTTCAGCTCATTATTAGCGTCTCAACGAAACACTAGGACATTATAATAAGCGATTACTCAGCTCTAGAATTCTAGAACAACCCTAATTTATTAATGAAGCCTGCGAGCTAAATTGCGGGTCTTGGGAATCAGCCAAGTGTGTATGTTAATCGGATATTATGAAAACATTTTCGGGCTCACGTAAGCTTTAGCAAATTTTATATGTCGGTCGGTTGCCAGTACACGGGAGCAAGTGCACAGAATAAATATTGTCAGTGTTCGCTTCAGCGCGGAGGAGAAAGTAACGTGTGTTGCGTAGTGGGAACATTGTGCGTGATCGGACCCGCGATGTGTGCGCAGGAACATTCTGGTGGTGCAGAGTGAGCACGAGCGCCAGGAGTCCTGGGAGGCCATCGGCGCGCGTCTCATCCGCCGCCTGTCCATGCGGCCCACCGCGGAGGAGCTCGTCGAGAGGAATATACTCAAAAGTAAGCTATACTACTGCCTACATACATCGGATTACTAATCACACGATAGTTACATAAAACTTTCACTCGGTGACGTTTTATATTTCGACCTATTTTAGTCCCCGATAATATTATAGGATAATGGCCATTGAAGTTTTGTTCTATGACACTTTCTTATTGCACATATAATTTAGATAGCAATATATTTTTAGACCGATCGTATTATAAACAACGTTCAAGATTTTGCGTTTTATATTGGCATAGGAAAGGTATAGCTATATAAGCTATATTTTTGTAGTTCGATCCAGTTACTCAAGTACGTAATCTATCACACCAGCAATACTAAAGCGTTGAACTGTTACAGGCCAGTCACCCGCCGAAGAGAAGAAACAGAAGGAGGAGAAGAAACGTTATCTGTTACGCAAGCTCAGCTTCCGACCCACTGTCGACGAACTTAAAGAGAAGAAGATCATCCGCTTCAGTGATTACATTGAAGTCACACAGGTCAGTCAGCCTTAACACTTAGACACTAATTTATTTATTTTAATCTTAGTAAAGGTTACCATTTCTATTTAATTACCTATGAATTATTTAAAAACTCTGAATAAAAACTTCTGACAATATAGCCACAATACACCATATAAGAATTTAATGAAGAATAAACAATTTCTCTCAAAAACATAGACACATAAACATAACCTAAACAATCTAGGGAACAAATAACATGTATTGTAATGACGTTACAATTAATCAATGCTAAAATTTATTGGCGAGGCATAAAAATAATAATTTCGTCACCTTTTAATCATCTTTACTAAAAATATTAAACTATTGATATTTAAAATAATCGGTTACTTAAAAACAAATGTTATACAGATTAATTTAATTTCTCAACATAACTTGAGCTACGATGTCGACACTGTTGTCCAATTTAATATTCTATAGAATATACTTGTACAGGTAACAAAATCGGGTTCTTTACTATCCGATAATATTATGATGTGTTTATGATATCTTTAACACTATACTTGTAGCAAGTTGTATTGTTCTCTAGTAAAAGAAAGTATTTTATTTTCTTTAGAAACTCGTATCCTCCCTTTATTGTGGGTTGAGGTGTGTTTAAAAACAGATACAGGAGAAAGAATAAACCCAGATCTTTTTCTTTCTAATATCTCCAGTTCTTTCACTCTGAATGTGTCATTGTTAACGAAAATTACTTATTATTGTGTGTTTTTGCAGGCGCATGATTACGACCGTCGTGCTGACAAGCCGTGGACTCGTTTAACTCCCCGGGACAAGGCCGCTATTAGGCGAGAGCTCAACGAATTTAAAAGTTCGGAGATGGCTGTACACGAGGAAAGCAAGCACCTTACCAGGTATGCAGCATGTTTTGTGATGACATGTCCTACGTGGCCAGCTCAATCATAGAGTATTTTGTCAGTATGCATAACTGTTCTATGTCGCAGGTTCCACCGACCATGACGGCCGAGGCTCGTGGGCGGGGCGCGCGGCTGAGTGTGTGCGCACGGGCCAGTGCGGCACGGCGCGGCACGGCGCGGCACAGTACGGCACAGTACGGCACAGTACGACACAGTACGGCGGCAGCACGGCAGACTCCTGCGACTCTCGGCCCGCCTCTTCCCGACCACCGGCCGTGGCCGCACTTGTGATTTTTAATGTTATTTATATTGACTTCTTCCGTTTTCTGGAAGATTTATATGCAATAACTTACCAGAACGCATCGGTAAAGTGTTGAATATTCTAAAGTTGCGTTGTACCGCCGTTTTGACGTTACGTTTTGTACATGCGTACCGAGAGTGCAATTTTGTTTTTTAATTTACCTACTATGTATCGTAGTTATTGCCGAGTACAATTATTGTCATTATGGTATCGTTTATTATAATTAGGTTGACGTATTCTAAGCATAACTATACATTCTTTGAATTGACCTTCGAGAAAGGTTAGTGATACTGTTTATTGTGGTGGAGATTATGCGCTTTCAAACTATGTGAATTGTATGTAACGTTTACAAGTGAATTATTTTGATATGTGAGACGTATCCGACATATTGTATTTTTTGTAAACTTGTGATTTTTCTTATATTGCTAGCTCTTAGCTCCGTAGTCGTTAAGCTAGATTTCAACTTGAAATATTTATTTGGCATTAATTGACACTGTATTATGTTACGGTCACAAATTATTTTTCCTTTGTGTGTCGTATTACGGTATGGTAGACTTGATCACAACACAATTTCCGCCCTGAGCGGCGCTAAATGCAATTTTTTTAATAAGTACAGACCTTTTTATACTTCCTGGACAAAATGCTGAATCTTTCTTAATTCAATTGACAAGTTGCGGCATTTTATAACGTTCGAGTTTGGAGATACTACCACAGAGTTTCAATCGATTGTTGTTACACTGTTTGTGAACATGAAAACGTATGATTTGTATGATAATCAGTGCTTTAGTTTCCAGTTAGATTTTGTAACGTTTTGTTGAGATGTGAGAATAGGTGTTATATTTCTTGGTTAGACATATTTTGATAAAGCTCGTGTCTACTATCAACTTTTTTATATTGGAATATTTATTTTGATGATCTTGATGTGCTTCCAAATATGTATAAACTATTTTGTACATTGCGACTACACTCGCACCGATACTAGATTCTTATTCGTTACGGCTAACCTTTCCACGTACCGTATTTATTTGCTCAAATGTAGCCAAATGCAAAATTATACACTACTGCCACTAATATATCACCTATTATCTCCCGAAGTTACATTTTAATATTAATTCGTGTAAACTTTGTATCATTATAATAATCAAGACATAGTTTGCCATAAAGGCGTATGCATCGTAGTAAATATAATTTACTGTATAAGTAAATAATTCCATAAATACATACTTATTAAATGAACAATAGCTAAATAAACGAGTACCATCTGAACAGAGGCAATTAATTTGTGATTATTCGATAAGACTACTGGTCCAGTTATGAGATTCCTAAGTACAGGGAGAACTCAGTGATTGTAACTCACTATAGAACACTGTTGTTGTTAATATGACACTGAATATTGATATTGAGCTCAATGTAAAGTGTGTTAAATAGTTAGGCTTTATTATGTCCATCCGACACATGACGTGACGATGACGAGCAACCTCGGCGGGAACAACTTGTTATCACTTGTCGCTCTAGCCTAGCTCTAGTGTAAGTTATTCAAACGTTGAACGAACTAAATCACTAATTAATGATTCAATAAGCTATTATAAAGCTGTAGCTGTTAAATACATTATTGTACGCCTTCTGAGATTACAGATATTGTTTGATGAAGTGCCGATACCACTGCGGGTGGGCTCGACAGTACAGAGAGCAATAATCTGCTATCGGCTTGTTTGGTTGACGAGTGACATTATTTGAACTAGTGTTGAAACTTTTTATATTACTGAATAGATTAATTCTTCTTAGTGTAACTAATAGATAGGAATCAGTTATAAATATTTTTTAAAAAGCGACGTATTGTTCAGTAGCGGTGCCATTTCGTGTGACGTGTTTCATGAGTAAGTCATCCCGGTCTTGAGCGCGAGTATTCCGCGCGGCTCGGGCCGTGTTCGTGCTGGAGTCAATTTGGTGACACGAACTTTGCGTCAGTCTGAATGTTTTCATTACACGTGTTTTATATAGCGATTATTCTGTTAAGTCAATGCGTAATAACAGTACATTATACACGACAATCGTAGCAAGATACAAAAATGTTGATCTAATGGTTATTCTGACGACCATTCCATTATAGAATAAAGTGGAAGCCAAAATGACGACTTATTTTTCTAAACGATTTTGTTAGATTTGCAATTAAAACTAATAAGGTAAATCGTAGATGTTTATCGATATATTATATTACTTGATAAGACATACAGATTTTCCAAAGATCTAAGGCTCAACTAAATTCTTTTGACTAGCTAACATGTTATGACATCTATTGTGTATGTATGTGAAAAACTTGTCACTGTCATCGACGCTCGGGCACTACTAGTAAACGAGTGAATTATGTAACTTGAGATATTATTTTTATAAAATCAAATGTGATATAATTATTTTAATTTCTAGTGTTTAATTTGATAACACGTTTTGCATACATATTTATTCGATTATTTATTATTAGAAAGGAATCATGTAGACCTGCTAACGCTAACTCTTCTATTGTTTTGCCAATATTAATCAAGGATTTTCACAGTGCAAACAGTACCACAAACCCTGCAATGTTTCACATAGTGAGAGTCGCATCGTAGAGCTCTTCTTGTAATAAATAATTTAGTATATCTCACAAAGTATTTTGATAACAAGTGCAGGGGAACTTAAATATTGACTTGAACTATTTTTCCATGTTTACACTAACGGTGTACGTAATATTGTACTAGTAAGTATACATATAATGTACCACACTATATTTCTGTGACGCTAAGTATATTTATGTATCAGCTGGTTGAAAATTGTAGCGGCCGCTCTCCAGTTTGCTTAATGTTAGTCGATAGATAAAGTATTCGTGAGTCTATGAAACAGACCGAGGTCACAATCATTTCGAATTTCCGTCGACAAATATTAGCAAACTTGAAAGCTCCGTAAAATATAAATCTAAAACCAACTACGACATAACATAATCCATGTATTGCGATAGTTTTTTAATTCAATTATATCGATAAACATTCTTTTAAAATTATGTCTGTATATAATTTTATTATAATGTAAATTATGGAATCTCTCATTTCCAATAATATCGTTCATAAATTTTTGTGCTATTTCAATTTATAATTGCTAATCTTCAGTAATCTGTATACTGTTGCTTTTATTTTAAACATCATGTAAATTATTAATGACTTGTTGTAATGAGTATATATTGATAGCTATAAAATTACTTGTTTTATATAAAAGTAAGTCTGTAAATATCATAATTATACATTAAGTTTTATACAACATTGTTTTTGTTTCTAACCCCAACCCTGAACTGAACATTTGAGCTTATAAAAAACAGTAATAAAAGTGGGCAAACACAAGTAAAACTGGAATTTATTGTGTACTGAAGCATGGCGAACTATTGTTTTGGGGAGGTTTAATGGAATATTAATGAAGGCTTTGACCCGTGAGGCTGCGGCGGCGCGGCGATGGCGTCGACTTTCGATGGCGCTAACTTATGGTCGTGCGACTGGCTGGAGAGAAAGTTAACTGTAGTGCGTGCCCGTTACCGCGAGACGCGCGCAGCCGCACTCAGACCGCGCCGGCCAGCCTCGCGCCTCACTGCACCACCGCCGCGCGCGCCGGCCGTGCTTAGCCTTTATCTTACGAGCCCGCAAAAACATAACAGAAAGTGACAGTGATCAACAAAAAAGTTTATCCATAAAGTTGTAAATACAGTGTGTGTAGTGACTGAGGCCCATGAGACCTGTGTGAGAGGTCACGGTGTGAAAGTGCAACGGCCGGAACAAAGGATCATTGCTATGACGTTCTCTGGAAATATGAAGGAGAGTAAACCGCGACCCGGGAAAGACGCATGGGAGTCAGAGGTGAGTTGAACACCATGTTTTCTAATTTCTCATGCATGTGTCGCAGCTGTAAGTTTTATTGACACGCGTGGGATCAATGGTATTGTTATGGTATCAAAGATTTCATCTCGCTTAATTATTCGTGTGACAGTTACTTATCTGTTTTTAATCGCGACTTTCTCTTTAATTATAATAGATGTCACATTATATTGCTTAGGAGCTTATCGTGCGAAACTTAACGACATCCTTTTAACAACATGCAACAGAGTAATGACTTTAGTAGACTTTTGAGTTATAATCTTAAAAGTCATTTTATGTAAATAAGTGTGTAACTTAGACGTCTTTTTTAATACGTATATTCACAGAAACATGTACACTTAGAAATTATATTTCCTTGTAAACCTAAGAAAATCCTATAAAAGATAATTGTTTTTAGTTTTATGGTGATAAGTAATATAATAATTACACTTCATCACCACCCTCTCCGTAATGATGTACTGTAATTATTTTACCATTTCACCAAGATATACCATTTCACATTATCAATTATCAACGCATTATAAGTACAATTTTCTAGACTTAAACAATTCGATACACGTACCGTACATGAACCTACATAATAAGTTTATTCTGAAAACTTGTGCATGTGACTGCCTAAATCAATGTCGATTATAATCATTAGGCTTGTTTAGTTAATAACAACGACAGAATAACATTTGCAAGTACATAAAAATATTGGTATTTTAACTGTTTTATCATGAAATGGTAAACCTTGGGCTTGCTAAGAGATTCATGGGAAAAACTTGTAGTTAAGTCAAGCATTTTTCTGTTTTTCTTGAAAGTTTATTATCTTGGGAATCTATTAGGTAAGTATTATTTTGTTACAACAAAATTGGGTAGTTAGTCTCATTATTGTACAACGTAATATACAAGTTCCTACGTTCCTGAATTTTATTTCACGATGGGGTGTCTAAGTACAGGTGCGCGAATTAAACTGTTTTCCTCAGAGTAAGATTCGTAGAATAAGGCTGAATTAGGCATGTTTTTAGACGATTCTTATTTCGATAGTGGAACAACCTAACAATTATTTACCCAATTCAGGAATTTATCTAGAGGTCCCATAGTATTCACAGTATCTCTTTCTTTAGAGAGAACTATACTTTTTAATGGCTTAATAACATTCAGCAAACGGTTCTATTAGTTGTTGATTTTTGACACCGTATTGTATGTTAATTGTTATGAATTCCTGTTAGATGCATAATGCGTGATGACTAGAGCGTCTTTTGTTCGTTCGTTTCGTTTGTATGCATTTGGGGCAAGAACTCCCAGATGTGAATGAGTAATCATAAATCTGAAATCAACTAATTTATCTATACATACAGTTAATAAACCTATAATAGGATTAATCGATCGGCATGCATTCACATTTCTGGTCAGTTATTTTAAGAAAAATGATGAAATTAGTGTGGTCTGTGTTTTATAGAAGAAAAATCTCATTATTTTTCTCATTCCTAAAATTCTGGACTAATTCCAAAACAATGTTTCACTATTAGTAGGTAAGCTCGCTTTTCACGTAAAATAGGCTTTGATATTCGTACGGGGGACTACGCGAGAGAAAACTTTTATTAAAAAACGGATGAAGTCGTACTGTCGTAAGCAGAAAAAGCTGATAGGTAGGTTTAGGGTGTACTCAGCTGTATATTTAAACCCGGACAAACTGGTTATAAGTTTTAAGTTTCTCCATGTCTAATAGTCTATCATTATAATAATACTACTACTTAGCTTACCTGATACATGATACGAATACGAGTTAATTACGAGAATTACCTAATACGGGCTTTCTTAAAATTCCTATTTTCTTTGCTTCATGATCATATTGAAAACATCAAACAGATACCGAAGTGTTATTTTTTTCGACATTGTTCACGCAAAACTGAGCATGTCCAAGGTATAGCAGTTGTACCTTGGACATGACCACACTAACAAAAGGTTGCTGGTGGCCGAGACGCGATAATACTGAATTTATTTATTAAACAGGTTCTAAAGCGACTGTACAAGTTCTTTTAATTCCTTGTTATAGGTACACCCTTTCACAAGATATATCAGACACAATGTTTCTTGTTACGAACTTAAAAATCTCGAAAGGCCTACAGGAAGCGAGGTGCCGCAGTATAGCCTATGGAAGACCATAGGCTATTAATTTATTCGGCGACATGAATCATCATCTACATAGCTACATAACTAAGTGCCTACATAACACGCCCTCTACTTAGGTGCATACATACAACGTATGTACGTACTTATATGCTGAGAATCTATTAGGTTACTAATGGCCTCGAAGATTAACTTTTTGGTATTGTATTTTCATAGGAACCTATAATATGTTATTTAAGATCATGATCTATCATAAACCGTCATAACCATTTAGGCATCCACACACATCCACATCCTTCAGATGCGAGAGCTCATCAAGAAAAACCAAGCCAAACGCAAAGCATTCACGCACTGATGATCATCATCAGCCCAACCCAAAATCCACCGGACCTAATTTTACACGCGTGTTGCGGCGAAATACTACAGACGTATCTCGTAGCGCGTAGTTTGTGGTCCGTAGCAGGTAGTGCGTAGCGTGTAGCAGCATACTTTAGGCTCGTCTTGTAGACGTGCATTCTATTCTCAAAATGCATGATTTGGCTCTTTGGTCTTTATGGCCTTGGACTTAGGAATCTATTCAATATTTATTATTTTCTTTTGTACAATAGTTTCTGAAGGAACTAAATGATGGCCAGGGCAAGCACCTTGACTGCGATGTAGAGTTTTTTTTTATGGCATGAGCCGGTAATCGAGCAGACGGATTACCTGATGGAAAGCAATCAGCGTCGCCCATGGACACCAGAGGCGTTACAAGTGCGTTACCGGCCATTTGGGGACTAGGAGTTTGAGGATTCAGGGATTGGGGAGATTGGGGAAGGGGAGGGTAATTGGGCCTCCGGTAACCTCACTCACACGACGAAACACAACGCAAGCGTTGCTTCACGTCGGTTTTCTGTGAGGCCGTGGTATCACTCCGGTCGAGCCGGCCCATTCGTGCCGAAGCATGGCTCTCCCACACTTGAGTTTGTAAAGAGAGAGTTTGTAAACTCTTTCCTTTTGTCAATTAGTTTTTATCTCAGAGGCGTGTAATTGTGGGAAAACGTTGCTACGCGCTACGAACCACGCGTTACGGACTACGCGCTACGAACTACGCGGTACTGACTACGCGCTACAACCCATGCGCTACGAGCCAGTGCTGTAGTCATCATCAACAGCCTATAAATGCCTACTGCTGAGCAAAGCCTCTTCTCACACGGAGAAGGTTAGAGCATTAATCACCACGCTTGCTCAATGCGGGTTGGCGATTTCAAACTTATAATTAGAAATTATAAGTCCAGGTTTCCTCACGATGTTTTTCCTTCACCGTTTGTCAGTGGTGTCTAAATAATCTTAGAAAGTACATATAACTCGGAAAAAGTCACATTGGTACTTGCCGTTGGTAGGTTTCGAACCCGCACCCTCATGCATGAGAAGTGGGCGTCTTAAACCTCCGGTGCTGTAGTATTTCACCGCAATTTAAGTGTTGAAATATAAATTATTTTAGGGCTGAGCATGCAGGGATAAGCTCGATATTAGATCTAATTACTTTTGACAGGGCAATCTATTAAAAAAATGACACCATGTTATTTCTAAACAATTTGCAGTTGCCAATCTAGTAAAATATGTTACATGACTTACATACAAAATATTATCTTTACTCCTCGTATCTACTTACTTCTCGTTAGGTTAACATACCTAAGGTATTTGCATGTTAGTATTTTTTCATATTTGGCTGACATGGTTGTGAACAATAAGTGAATAACTAAGTTGCCTTTATTTCTCTCTAAGTGTTAATCATATTTTTGAGTCATATTAAAGATGAATTCGTTTTGTCTTAGCGGGCTGGACTGCTATGAAACATCATCAATTAGCGTATACAAACACACGTGCTAAAATTAAATTAGATATACATATAGCCGTCTCGATATCTACCTATTCTTTTAACTAAACACATTAAGAAATACCTAAAAGCTTTATTATTTAGATAGCTAAGTATTCCATAGGTACCTACATTATTAATATTATTATTGAACTCCAGTTTATAGATAAAACGACAAGAATTGAGTAGTCAGGCAGAGCAGACAGCAAAAAAGTAGCACCTATATCAGGAAATTAGAAATCGAGAAACTAAAGAAATTAGGTAGATATTGCGAAAGTAAATCAGAAAAAGAATTTCTATACTTTGTTAAAGATTTTTCTACTTTTTGGCGAATGATGTGAAGTGAGTGAGGGGGAAGTGTGTCAGTGTTGATATTAACGGCTCGGCGCGGCCGATGTCATCCGTGATCCGGGTCGCAGCCGGCCAACGTTGGCTGACCGCACACGACACCGCGCTACCTCTATACTACTAATCACTATTCGTCACTGGATTGCATTAAGAACTTGAAGTTTGAAGCTTGAAGCAACGAGTTGTAATGCCCTTTTGTTTACATTCATGTCAATTTCTTGTCGATAAAGTGAATTTGACTATTCGTAAAAATTACTGTCGACTTGGTTGAGCCTGAGACCTCGGGATTTATTTATAGTTTAATTTTTAGTAAAAGCACGAAGCTTGAAATTAAGCCCAATATGTTGATTAGTGTGATAAAAGGATCAGTCGTTTCTTTTGAAGAAATCTCAATTAGTGAAAAATTAGTGATACAAAAATTATTATGTACACCGTGCACTGTAGGTATATAGAACCACAGAACATATACTTAAAGAACATTTAGAACTAAATAAATACTATCATAATAATTTGATCTAGCTTAAAAGATTCACATCTAAACTCTAAATGTTACGTATTTAATATAGGCTGCCAAGCAACAAAATTATCCTAATATTTTTTTAAACTTTCTCTTTTGATTCTCACACCTGATTGGACGGTATGCCTGCATGTAGGATACTAA